TTCGAGCCCTTCGGGAAAGGTGAGAGCGATCAGCAGCTCGGAGATTGCTCCTCCGCTGCTGTCTGGGACGAAGGGCACCTTTCCCGGCAGAGATTCTGCTCGAGCTGCCTAGGTAAACTCATCAAACCTTAACAAACCTGAAGGGAAGAACTGAAAAAATCAAGTGCCATCTCCGAGCACAAGCTCTGTAAAGCCTCCCTTGCTGCGTTAAAGCCGGGAGCGTTGTGTGTTACTAGTGAATAAAAAGGACTTTCTATATCCTTAGGTGTAAGTGCCTGGGAACTGTTTACTCTTCTCAGAGTGATATAAACACTGGAACAGTTTGAATTCAAGCTGTGCTGTGTCTGGAGGTGCTGGAGAGCCTCTTCTGCTTCTAGACCTGTCTACAGCGGAGGAAAACATCAATAATTATACTGCTGGCTTGAAAATGGTTATTTCTGAGACATTCAGAAATAGCAGGTAGGCAGCCAGTGGTATAAAGCAGGAAAAAAAACCCCAAACGTGCTTGTAAGTTTTAATTATGGAGTGATTAGCAGATTATTAAGGATTGGCAGCAAATCCAAATCTCACTTGGGGTATGTGTTCCAGCACTGTAACTGACTGTTACACTAATTAATTGGAATTAATCTAAAATAGTGCCACTTAATTCTTATAGTAATAATGTAAGCATTAAGACTTTTTAATGTCATTTATATAAACCTAAATGTCATTCAGTTTATTTCCACACTGCCTAGCTCTGAGATATCAGCACTTTGTGAACTATGTGGGGGGAAGGACCCTCCCTCTTATTTTTCCCTTGGAAGTCGCTATTTTCTACATAGTCACACTTCTTGTTCTGGATCCTGCTTGGTCCTCCTGAGTGAATGGAAAAATACTTCCTTAAAAAAAAAATAAATCAGGATTTATAAGTATTTTGGTCAGCTGTCTTGTAGAGTATTGTCTGGTGTTCTGTAACACTTCAAAACTCACACTTTCCCTTTCATTCGAATGTAGGTCATTAACTTAATGAGCAACTGTTGGAGTAGGTTTAATGTTTGACTTGGTCTATCTTTAATATTCAACTTTTTCTTGCTGTGCTCCAGTAGGTGAACCCTTTGCAGTCAGCAGGTGCTTTCCCTCCTATAAAGCCACTCTGCATATTTTTTTTTTCTCCATAGCAAAACTTTTAGGGCTTTTGGGCTGAAATTAATGGCTTTGATTCAGTGATTGTTTTGTGGGCGTTGTTGGTTGGTTGGAGGTTTTGTTGTTGTTTAAATTTTTAGCAAGTTTGGATTTTTCTTTTTGCTCTCTTTGATAAAAGGATGTTACACACCAGCTCAGACCCTGAAACAGTCTCATTTGATGGAGGCAAATCCTAAGAAGAAGGGCTTAAGATAGGGGTACAAAATGGCTTTATATTGTTTATGGTCGTGGAGAAACTCATCATCCTTTGTCTTTGGGCTTTCTTTTCCTTTTTTCTGCCAGGACATTTGACAGTTCTTCTTCATGCTCCAGGTGTGTGCAGAGACAGAAGGCAGTTGCACTGGCTGCTGATCCTTTTTGTTTGTTTTGGCCCGTGATTTGTTCTGGGAGTTTACTGCTGGAGTGTGACTGGAAGTTAGTGGGAAGAGTCCCTGTGGCTGTGATGAGCTGGCTTCCAGCTGCCCCTCGATGATTTCCTGACCCCTGGGGGGCTTACAAAATGCTGTTGCTTATTGCCCTTGTTCCTCTTAAATTGAAGCCTTCCAAGCTCCTGCTTCTCTGTGGCCAGGGCATGAAATGATGAGGCTGCAGGTTCCTGCCAGAAGTTCGATAGAAGGTCAGTGCCATTTTTCCCAGTAAAAATGTCACTTAATCTGCATTTCTCTAATAGCATCATGTGTTTAAATATCCCTATGGCTTGGCAGGGCCTCTGTACATTTATTCTCCTGTCCCTGTGGAAGGTGCTTGTGTTGAAAGGGCGAGTTGCATAATAGGTTTTGGAGAAGCGATGATGGTTTTACCAGTTCTGAAGGTACCACAAGGTACAGGCTGCCAGGGAGGTGTGTTGTCATCTCTGGACATTGATACACTGCAAGAAGAAAAAAAACAACAAAAATGTGATAAATTTTTTTGTAGGTACATTAACAGATTTTCTTGTTAGGTAGGTAGTGCTTTAAAATGCCTTCACGAAGAGTAAAATATGCAATGTGATTCCTATTTAAAATGGTTTTGTTTGGTGAGTGTGGGGATAGGAAGCAGCAGGGCGGTACCGCCAGCATCCCAGGGAAGTACAGCTGTAATTCCCATGGCTTTTGATGGCATGTGCATAACCCTGGCCGTGGAAAATACACCTTAGGGCTAAGGATTATCTTCCTGCGCTGCGCTCCGGGCCTGTGTGGGATCAGGAGATGGGAGCAGAGCTGGAGTCTGGCAACCTGTTGGATCCTGAGTAGCCCTTAGGTTGCTGGAGCCTTTGATTTCTGCTGCTGACAGAAACACTGATTTTCCCCATCCTGCTCCTCCATTCATGGTTTTGTAATATCGCTGTTGTTGACAGGAGCAGTAATTCAATACCATGGGAATGCTTCTGGCGTGGGGACATGGAATCAATAATGGGCTTTTTCCAAGTTTGATTCATCATTTTTCTTGGATGTTTCATTGCTGAAGCATCACTTTGGGTTTTGGCTTTTTTAAACCACTCTTATCTAAGGAGTGTTATCCTGCAGCGGGGCCCTGTGGAAGGTGGCTGAACATGGACGAGGGAAGTGATTCTCCCTCTGTACTGGGCACTGCTGAGGCCACACCTTGAGGGCTGTGTCCAGTTCTGGGCCCCTCGCTTCAAGAAGGACATTGAGGGGCTGGAGCTTGTCCAGAGAAGGGCAACAGAGCTGGGGAAGGGTCTGGAGAGGAGCTGAGGGAGCTGGGGTCGTTCAGCCTGGAGAAAAGGAGGCTTGGGGTGACCTTCTCGCTCTCTGCAACTCCCTGACAGGAGGCTGTGGCAAGGTGGGGCTTGGCCTCTTCTCCCAGGCAAGCAGTGACAGTACAAGAGGACATCAGGAAGAATTTCTTCATGGAAGGGGTTGTCAAGTATTGGAATGGGCTGCACAGGCAGGTTGTGGAGTCAGCGACGCTGGAGGTGTTCAGGGAATGACTGGACATGGCACTGAGTGCTCTGGTCTAGTTGACCAGGTGGTGATCAGTCCAAGGTTGGACTGGACGATCTTGGAGGCCTTTTCCAGCCTAAATGATTCCGTGGCTTGTTGGCACTACACCAAGCCTGTGCACTTCTGCACTTGCACAGCCCTCTGCTGATGCCCCTGAGAGTGGTGCAGCACAGCGAGCTTCTCAGATGCTTCTGCTGATGTTTCCTTCAGAAACTTAATATTGTATAGCAATAAACCTAGATTACACAATTATTGTATGGTAACCATGTAGTATATAGTAAGTATAATTATAGTATTTTATATATAATTACATAAAATACGAGATGTTCTATTTGTGGGCTGGTAACCCACATAACACGAAAAAAAAAAAAACAAACTAAAGAGTCCTGAGCAATGTGTTGTAGGTCAGTTATAAGACTACAGTGTAAGGAGATAAGGTCTGAGTAGCAGCATTATCTGTTGTTCTTATTTACAAAGGACACTGCAACAGACTCAGGTTTCTGCATGGATTGGTTTGGCACGAGGAAAGAGCAGATTGTTTGGTTTGGCGTGTGCTTGTTTCTCTGTCCTAGGAGGGTTACGGTGACTGAGGAGTTTCTGACGTGCCCTCTCTGTGCTTCTAACGCACTTGGCTTTCATCTGGTACATACAGGGTTTTAAAACAGGGGTGTAAGAAGTGTTTTCCCTTTCCCCGGCAGCCTGCTGCTGTCAGGAGCTGTGTTTAGGATGGCTGTTTGAGTGTAGGTTAGAGCTGGTGCTCAAGTGGGTGTTCAGGTGCTGATTTAAGTAGGTTCAGAATCGAGTACTTGTCCAAGTGCTTCAGTGGAAGTTGAGATGTTCACGTGTGTGGTACTGCCTCCTGTTACTACATTTTGTCTTGTACACAAAGTGTAATTTTTGAAAGCTCAAAGTAAAGTCGTTTCTTACTCTCTGGTAGCCTGATTGTGACTTTGCATCGCTGTCTGGCTGATCAGTGTTGACACTAAAGGAAAATATTGCATGGATTTGCGTGGGCTTTTAGGAGAAAAAAACTACCTTAATCTTCTCTACTCCACTTGGCTTATATGAAAAAAAAAACAAACCCTCAGAAGATGTTATCCTTAAATCAGACTAGAGAGTTGCAACTTAAAGGAGGACAACCTGAAGCCTGTGGACAACTGTAGCTTGTAGCAGGAATGCTCATAACCATGTTACCAGTAGTGTGAAGTGTGATGTGCTCAGACTGCAAAATGGATGTAGAAGTTCCAGTTGAGGAACTGAGTTGTATTTGTACTGAGTCATCTTATATCCTGTGCACTGGGATATGAGTACTGGTGATTTCTTTGGGTCTCGCGTGTGAATAAGTACAGGATTTTAGCCTTTGGGTCTTTAAACTTAGCGTCTTTCTTAGTCACTTAATAAATTCTAATACCAATGACGCAGTCGTGCTTTTAAGTGTGATCACAAGTGTAGCAGGATGCAGCTCTCAGGGCTGACGTGACGATCTGGGAGCTGTCGGGTGACGTCTGTAATTCGGAAGTGCCGCGTGTGGTACCTGCGTGGAGGGCACCGACCTCCCAGTCTCACTTGGCTTCCCTGCTGTTTCACGCAGGTGCCATATCACTGTCTGTGTTGGAAAAGGTCTCTTGTTTACCCTCGATGCCAGATGGAAAGGGAGGGGTGGGGAAAAGGCGGATCTCGCTGGAAACAGGGCACTGCCAAGCGCGCTCTGAAACGGAGTCTCTCTCGTTCCCTGTGACCACCGCAAGGATGGCTCCAAAGCGGGGAGACGGGATGAGCTTCCGTGGGACGGCCAGATAATAACTTGCCTTAAATTCCCCAGCAGGTTACAAGTCTGTCGTGTGTCGCTCTAATGCTTTTCCTTTCCCGTTCCAGCTATGAAGCCGTACGCTCCAGCTTTCATTCTCCTGTGGAGTGCCGTCGGGATAGCGAGGGCTGCCAAAATCGTCGTCGTGCCGCCAATTATGTTTGAAAGCCATCTTTATATTTTCAAGACTCTGGCCTCAGCCTTGCATGACCAAGGTCACCAGACAGTGTTTCTCCTCTCTGAGGGCAGAGAGATTCCTCCATCTAATCACTATAGACTTCAGCGCTACCCAGGGATCTTTAACAGCAGCACCTCGGATGATTTCCTCCAGTCCAAGATGAGGAGTATCTTCTCGGGGAGACTGACAGCCCTCGAACTGTTCGACATCTTGGACCACTACACCAAGAACTGCGACATGATCGTTGGCAACCAAAACCTCATGCGTGCCCTGAAACAGGAAAAATTTGACCTGCTCCTGGTCGATCCCAACGAGATGTGCGGATTTGTTATAGCTCACCTTTTAGGGGTTAAATACGCCGTGTTTTCCACTGGCCTCTGGTATCCAGCAGAAGTGGGCGCTCCGGCTCCCCTGTCCTACGTTCCCGAATTCAACTCGCTGCTCACGGATCGCATGAACTTCTTCGAGAGGATTAAAAATACTGTTGTTTATCTCATTTCGAGGTTCGGAGTCAGTTTTTTGGTCCTGCCAAAATACGAACGGATAATGCAGAAACACAAGGTTCTTCCGGAGCGGTCCATGTACGACTTGGTCCATGGATCCAGCCTGTGGATGCTTTGTACCGATGTAGCGCTGGAGTTCCCGAGACCTACGCTTCCCAACGTCGTTTACGTGGGAGGGATCCTCACCAAACCGGCCAGCCCTCTGCCAGAAGTAAGGTTTGCTGAGTTTTACTGAGTCATTTCTGTGGTTTCTGGTTCACCTCATGTCACGAGTGACGGTTTTGAAGCGGTGAATTCCAAATGGGATCTGGCGTTCTGCTGTTGTTTGGTGGAATATGCTCTTGCAGTCACTGGAAGTTGCTTGGGGTGGTGGCCAGAGGAACTGTGAGACAGAGACTCCAAAAAATGAGTCTTTTGTGGCTGCAGGAAGTATTTTGCTTTTGAGTAAAGTGCTTAAGGGTGCAAAAAACAGCGCACTCTGTCTTGGAAATCACATCAGTAGCTTCTACCCAAACATGGTTTAGAATGGGAAGGGAGGAGGATGGATGAGTGCTGCTTATACTCGAACAAGCCTGCTGATATGTTCTATGATCTAACTTCATGGTATCAGTGTTCTCTGTGGTGGTTTTTTGCCTCCCTTGGGTTGGATAAGTAAAAATGTCTTCAAAATTACATGTACGTAAGCATGAAAAAACCCCTGTATAGGCCAAGATATGGAGGTGTGAGTTGACCTAAATGGCACCGCTGCTACACTCTGATGGGAATTTTTACTGTGCACGTGCTGGCCATCAGGTACTGGAACGGTGACAGTGATTGCACCGGCTCCAGAAGTCCTGGCTGCACAGATCAATTAGTTTGATTACTTCAGTATAGTAGGTGAACTTTGATACCCGATACCTAAGAGTGCCTCTGTTCAGCAGCAGAGGTGGACAGGTGGTGAGGGACAGGCAGAACAAAATCTCATAGAACACCATGTCATTTACAGTTCGTGTCCATAAAAAGGCAGATGTTGAGTTGGAGGTGCCTGTTAATGGATGCTGATAAATAGGGAGGTAGACCTGCAGTGCTCAACAATATCCTTGTTAAAATGCCTTGTTCTGCCTTTGCTTTTGGCATGACAACTGCTGTTGCCTGTGCTCCAGGGTGTTCTCAGAGATGGCCCTAACAGTGTTGCTTCTGACAGGTTCTTGCTGTGTGTACACTCCTGTGTTTGGAAAGGGTCAGGCTGCACAGGTATCCTGAGAAAGCAGGCTAAAGGTGCTTTCTGTCTGTGCTGTCTACAAGTTCAGCCCTGTTCCCTCCAGGAAGACTTGGTGGGCCGGACTGAGCTTTTTCTCCCTTTTCCAAACTGATTATTTTCTTGTTCTGCAGGAAGAAAAAAAATGTCTTTGCACGATCAAGTTGGGCGCTAGGGTAACACTGTCTGTTTTGTCTTTTTGTTTAATGTAACCAGAGTGACAGTGACCTGAAAACAGACCTGTAGGTAGAGTACATGCTGGCAAATATTCATTGCAGCGAGGGGAAAAAACCACCCGTAATTATTTGTAATTTGTCTTCAGTTTTATCGGGCAATTCATTCTTGTGGAGTTGTAAGCGGGAGATACAAGGTGCAGGAGAGAAGTAACAAAGTGAGCACGTTCCTCTTTTATCCTGTAATTTGTCCGTGCCCAAGGTGTTACACGTAATCCCCTGCGGAATGTATTGTAGGTTAATTACTGGGCAATCACTCGGTGCTTGCTGAGCAGCGAGAAAAAATTCGGAGCTGTGGCTCTGCTCTGGCGGATTTAAAACTGGATAGCGAGTGCTGCGGCTGTTCCCTGCTCCTGCTGCAGCTCTGAGGCAGGAGCCTTGGCTGATTTATTTTCTGCAGCTTTGAGTTTGGTGCATTAAGGTGAGCCAGAAGCGGAGCTGGTTCACGTTTCTGTGCTGGGCTGGAACTGGTGATGCTTCAGGAGCTCTCAGAAATTACGCTCCTGCCCGGAGGGTGATCAGGAAAGAGGGGCGTGTGGCTGGAGACGACAGCTTTAGCAGGCTTTTTTAGGCTAAAATTAGAAGTTATTGGGTCTCTTACAGTCTCCAAAACTGCTTGTGAGTAGCCTAGTCCACTTCGTCCACTGCTTTCATGTATTAGGGGAAAAACCAGTGGTGTTTTTTCCAAGCCCCAAATACCTGGTCAACCCAGGGTACCTGCGCACCTCAGTAGTGGCACTCCAGCCTTGCCGAATTTTTTTTTTCCTTTTTTACCCCTCACTCAAAATAACCAAATAGTTTGTTTACTCAAACCAGAATGCCTGCACTTAACCGAAAACCTCAAGTTTTCTGCTCATAAGTAGCACCTAAAAAAAAAAGAAAAAGAAAAAAAAAAAAGAGGCGGAGAGGAATAACTCAGCGGTCAGTGAGGAGGTGAAGGTCAAGGTGTTTTGAAGTGTTACGGGGTGGCCGCTCTTTCATTCTGGGGGATGTGGTAGCTCTGTTTTGTGTATGCTCAGAACCTGCACCTTCTTTCAAGTTAGAAAAGCACGGCTGTAAAGGTAGCACGTAGCAGTGGGTGCTGAATATCCAGGTCATGTGAAGGGGGAAGGAAACATTGCTCCTGCTTCGCTCTGTCCCATCTGCGTTCATATTCTGGTTCTGGGCAGCGGATGGGGTGTGGAAATCCTTTCCCTTTTAGCCGCGCTTGCCGCCTGCGGGTCCCTGTGCTTTGTGGGATCGGGAACCTGTGCTTGGATCGGGGAGCGCAGGAGATGCAGCCAAGTCCCGGCGGCTGGAGGTGTGTGCTCAGGGGCTCTGCCGTGCTGGCACAGCGCTCGGTGGGGCGGCTGCAGGCCCTGCAGGGACCGTGTGTTACCTGTGTAAGCCTTCCCCAGGCTCCGATCCTCCTCCTCCTCGCTCCCTCCCGGGCAGCGTCCCGCTCTGCGCTTGGCGCAGTGTCCCCGGGGCGGTCGCAAGTGATGGCCGTGCCAAAGGAGCGGCAGCCAGCGGGTGTGCTTTGGAGGTCACCGCGCTGCCCGGCTCCCTGCGGCGCCCTGCGGCTTCCTCCGGCACGGCAGGGTCGGTCTCAGCGGGACGGACGGGCAGGGTGTCCGGGCAGCGGCCGGAATGCCGGGGGACGGCACATTTCCCCGCTCCCACCCCGGCGGCGGGGGGGGTGGAGCGCTGAGCACAACTTGGGTCGCTCCGCTCCGTGGAGGTGGGAGGGCTGATGGTCCCTTCGCAGAGCTCGGAGTAGGGCAGCGTTAATCGTCCTCTGTGGGGGCCAGCGTGGCGTTTTCACTGGTTAAACTGGGTTTAAAGGTGCTTCTCGCGTGAGGTGTGCTGCTCTGTAAAAGGCAAGGAGGTGATTGCGGCTGTAGCCATTATCCCTAAGGGAATCAAATGTTACATGCACGTGGAACACAGTCCAGGATCAGAAACTCGTGTGTTGAATTGCACAGAGGACGGTGGGATCAGAATTATCCTTAAAAGATCAAAAGCTAGAGACAGACTGACCCCCGAGTCCTTAAGGTAATCACTGACGTGAACTATCAAGTGCGTGCTGTTCCCTGGCAGTATTTCCCTGATAACTGTCGGTGCCCATTAGGAAGGCAAAGGGCTGCTCTGCTTCTCCCTCGCTGCACTTCTCCCGAGGGATGCGAATGAAGCTTTGTAAAGGAACCCCCATTTGGAGAAACAGTGAGGAAACCTCTGCTCTGCCATTTATCGTGTGACTGGGTTGGTGTGTATTAGGCATTAATGAGCCCGATAAGAGTCCCTGACTCAGGGCGGGAACCTGGGGGTGCTACAAGCAGCCGCCTGGGGAAATACTCAGCCCGTGAGTGAACCAGATTTATGCTGTGGAGGAGGGTGTGCACGTTTCGGAGTAAGAAGTTGGCCTTTCAGCCACAGCTGTCAACAGCTGGTAATTGCAGTAAGTTCCTCACTCCTCCCTGTACATCTCTTATCCGAGCTTGTTACTGCGAACATCAAAGCACGGAGCAAATTGGTGGCTTTGAAATATCTTCACTGAAAAGTGTCGGTTTGGTGTTTGTTTTCCCCTGAGCCTTGCTGACAGTTGTGTGTAGCTAATATTGATATTTATCTTTTAAAGTGAGGTGGAAGACTAAGGAGAGATGTTCTACTCCTTAAATCCGACTTTTCTCCTTCATTCCAGTTCAAGGGCACGGTCTCTAAGGTCTTGCAGGCTGTAGCAGTAGATTTTTGCCCGTGGCAGAGCACCATCATTTTAGGGTTATTTTTCAAGTCCAGGGAATAGTTCTTACAGAACTGTTTGGGCAGTAAATTTCTGGTGATGTGAAGCAGCTCTAGAGCCGTTCTAAAATGCGTGTGATCGTCAGCTGGGGAGGCTAAAAGTCTTTTAAGGGTGATAGAGATGATGCAGCACTGTGTAAATTCCGTGCTGAACCGTGTGATCGTGTATTTTGGCTCCGAAATATATTTTAGGTGAAGCTTCTCCCCACCCCCACCCCCAGCATTCGATGTTTGGCTCCACAGGTAAGTGTTGCCTGAGCTTTGCAGGCACCCAAAGGCATAAATCTGTAACCTCCAGTCTCAGCTGCCCCAGTAGGACTGGGCTGCTGAACAGCACACGGGTTAATGAGCTGCTGCTTTCAACGGGTTTTGGGGGTTTAAATATTCTGATTTATCCCATTCATCACGCTCATATTGGAGCACACAAATGAACAACACTTACTGACTTCAACAGGCAGGGCTTTCACTGAGAGTGTCACTTCCAGGTTTTGAGCAATGACCTTGGTACAGGACAAATAGTGAGAGCTGTGCTTTTCCCATGTTTTTTTCCCATTTATAACATCCAGAAAACCTGAAGTGAGGAATTTATTTCCAAAGGCACGCCTTTTTTTTTTTTGTTCTGTAATATTTGGATCGTGTTGCGTTTGGGTACCAAGTTTCTATAATGTGGGGAGTGGGAATGTGGTCCAAGCTGAAATTTGAGAGCAGCAAAGCCTAATTACTAATATTATTGACTAACAGCAATACTTAATCAAGGCAGCTTTTTTCATGTTCCCAGTTGCTTAAAGGTTAAGTGAAGTGGATGATCTGCTTTGTGGTTAATAATCCTCAGGAGAGGCATCTCCCTGAGCCTTCCCAGGCTGTTCACAGCCCACCTGGGGAATTCCCAGTGGAGGAGCTGCAGGGGACAATAGGGAGATCTTGGTGAGGGATGTGACTCTTACCCAGGATCAGAAGGCAGCT